AACTGAATTTTTTTCTTTTTTTTAAAGATTTTATTTATTTATTTGAGAGAGAATGAGACAGCGAGAGAGGGAACACAAGTGGGGGGAGTGGGAGAAGGAGAAGCAGGCTTCCCGCTGAGCAAGGAGCCTGATGTGGGGCTTGATCCCAGGACTCTGGGATCATGACCTGAGCCGAAGGCAGACGCTTAACGACTGAGCCACCCAGGCACCCCTATACTTTTATTATATTCTTTTGAGCAAAACTCCTTTACATTTCAATGGAATGCTATGATTTGTGTAATATATTGCTCTTGTATACAGCCACAAGTATCTGGTTAAGGAAGTTTTCCTTCCATTTCAACTTATCAGACTTTAGAAATGAGCATAAGCTGGCCTTAACTTACTTCAGGGCTCCTACATATCAACTTCTGATGTCCTTCTGAAACAGTGCTGAAATTAGGGACATTAGAATGAGACCTTGCCTTGCCTTGATTTTTTTTTTTTGCAGCCAAAGCCACTAAATTTTAAGAGAAGACTCTTACACCAAGGTATACAACAGTGTTTTTAAATTGCATGTAGTAACCTATTAGAGCATGGCCATCATTTAAAAAAGCTAAGCTGAAGAATATCAGCACTATCAGAGAGTAAGTACTGGTTTATGAAGCTTTTGTTATATGTACATGTGTGATGATGAAAAAATGTATTATGAGTCAGTAAAAGAAAAAAACTGCAAATACAATGATATATGAGATGTACTGAGGAAGAGAAACTTGGCAAGGTGTGGGGTTGGGGGGGCAAGACTGAAGAGGAAGATGAAGGAAAGGAAGTAATAGCAAAAGACTTCTGAGAAGTAAGCGTTATCCAAGTGTGAGTCAGCAAAGGCCTCAATTGAGCCATTAAAGTAGACAAGAGAAGAACGAGTTCTAAGGAAAAATTACAGACTTCATCCATCTCCCATAAAATAAGACAAAATTGAGCTACTAGAAGAAAAGAAATTATACTTGCTTTTACCCCCTTCATTCAAGATAAGTTTTCTGAAAGGTCCTTAAAACATTAAAATCCAGAGTGTTTAAGGGCGCCTGGGCGGTTCAGTCGTTAAGCGTCTGCCTTCAGCTCAGGTCATGATCCCAGGGTCCTGGGATCGAGCCCTGCATTAGGCTCCCTGCTCAGTGGGAAGCCTTCTTCTCCCTTTCCCACTACCCCGCTTGTGTTCCCTCTCTCACTGTGTCTCTCTGTCAAACAAATAAATAAATCTTTTAAAAAATAAATTAATTAAATAAAATTCAGAGTGTTTGGCTTTAAAATCCCATTACAAATAATTCTTACCTTGCTCTCTCTTTCTAATTCACTTCGCAGCCATTCAAAGTCACTGTATCTTCTTCTAACAGTAGATTCCTTCAGCTTGAAAATAGGCAGATTTGTCTGAAATTAAAAAAAAAAAAAATCACTCCTAAGTTGAAGCATGGGACAGGGACTTCAAAAACAGGGCTGGGGTGGGGAATCTGTTTGTCAAACTGATAATATGGCAAGTCTGGTTACCTTAAGATAAGAAAATCATAAAGTTATTATGATGACATTTTACCTCTAACAAAATAAAACTTGGCTAACGTTAAACAAGTATATTATTTACACTGGAGTACAACTTTTAAAATGCATGTCTGCACATAGGCTTTAGGTAAGGTCATTCTGCCTGTGGTCAGTTACATAAATAAAGGCCATTTTTTTCAATTTCAGTGAGCTGTAGAAATGTCAACTGAACAGGGGTGAGATAAAGCTAGCTCTGACTGCTATCCAGGTTAGATAGTACCTTACCATACAATGCTCACAGGGGAAAGAGACCTTAACTACTTTGACATGATATACAAAATACTTCATTATTATGACTAGATAAGACGTTTCACAATGAAAGAAATGAATAAAGGATTATGCTTAATATTCTTCTAAAAATGCCAGAAACTAGCAGGGAGAGTGTGTAATGTCTGCACTGTTACTACTAGCAGGAAATCAGCAGTCATACACATTAGATCAGGTTCAGAGATCCACAGTTTTATGGGCTGAGGGCAACTTTAAGAATTGAAAACGTAATGCCCAGTACTTTGGGGTTATGTTGGAATGGTGACTGTTCTTTATAAGACTGCAAGGACCACTTATGTCAACTTCTAAAAGTAACAAGAAAGATTTTTATTATCTTTTACTGATCCCTATAAAAAGAGAAAATACACCACCAAACCCATTTTAAAATGGTTTATGATTAAGGACTATTAGCAGAAGCAGTATACCACCATGATTTTATTATCAAGAATAGAATTTAAGGGCGCCTGGGTGGCTCAGATGGTTAAGCGTCTGCCTTCGGCTCAGGTCATGATCCCAGGGTTCTGGGATCGAGTCCCACATCGGGCTCCCGGCTCAGCGGGGAGCCTGCTTCTCCCTCTGACCCTTTCCCCTCTCATGCTGTTTCTCTCTCGCTCGCTCTCTAAAAAATAAATAAAATCTTTTAAAAAAAAAAAAAAAGAATAGAATTTAAAGTGCACATATCACAAAGTTTTTATGGCAATTAATGCCATACATACCATACTGAAAATGCTATTTAATACTATATACTCTTAGATTATATTTTGTTTTTAATTTGGTCTTTGCACTTGTAGAACAGCAAACTGTTTTACAGCTGAAAAGAAAAAAGGTAAGCGTCACCAGAAGAGACATCATCTACCACGTAAACCTTACTCTTAAGAAAATACCAATCATTTGTTAAACTTAATGCCACTGATAAGTTATTGTCATTCAGCAAAAGAAAAGCTTTTTATTCAGGGCCTTAAACCCATTTTGTAGTAGGTCTCAATTTTTTCCAAAGTGTATTAACTTCTCCGTGTTGTATACCTTATAGCTTGGAATCTACAGATGCTATTGGGCATAACACTGAATAGGTTTCAAGCATGAAACCAAATCTCGCAAGAGGTTTAAAAGCACTTGAATTTTCTTTCCCAGGTAACCACAACATTTGTTCATTGTATTAATGACTAAGAGCAAAACTGCACATAACAAGACTCTTATTATACTAAAAGTCAAGCTTATATTTAGAGATGCTGGCTTGCTGTACAGAAGGGTATTCTCATTCCCCACAGGGAATAAAATTAGGTCCCCTGGGGAGCAGGATGATAATTCCCAGAAAGAAAGCACTGGATTATTTCTCTCTAATTTCACCCATTGGCTTTTTAACCAAGTTCACCCTTCCGCATTAAAATATTAAGTCTTTCTAAGTGTCTAAAGATAGAAAGGCTTTTATAGAATTGAGTGTTTTCTGCAGGTGAGATTTTACATTTTGAATTCCCTCCTCTCAAATTACTTTACAAAAGGGATTAGCTGCTCTCTTTATTCAATATGTTAAGATCAAGCTTGTGAAAAGAGTTCCCTAAGAATTTTCATACTTCTGGGTACGGAAGTCCATAAAGTTAATCTCTGAAACAACATATCAAGCTTACAGGTACAATGTTGAGGGAAGAGTGCCAATTCAGCTCATTTTACCTTCCATTTTCCCTTTTGAACTTTTGACACAATCATGATTATATCTGATTCACTTTAATAAGAGGGGAGTGGGAAGGAGAAAAAGTCCATGACTGGCTAATAATGATAGATTATATATAAAAAAGGGTCACAGTTAAAGAAAATTCTTATATTTAGTTTGCTCTCTGGCTATGATTTTTCTTTACATGACGACTGCTTTAAAGTTTTGATAAAGTCACATCATGCAATTCTTAATATTATTTGCCCATTACATTTGGAGTGGCAAGTTTGCCAGTTAACTTCCTCCGGATCAACACCAACATCTTTCAACTCAACTTGATCAAAATAAAAATGAAAAAATGTGGAGGTGTTTTCTTTAAGCTCTGTTGATTATAAACTCTTGATCGGTCACTTTCAACTTATTTAACCCTCATAAAATGTTCCATTTTGGTTTTCTAAATAGAGAAGAGTAAGGATGATTACCTTTTTACTACAGTTTTAGGAGGATTCAACTATGTTTACAATTTGGGAACATTTATAAAAGGGCCAGTGCTACTAGGTAAGTTGGGGAATATAATGCCTGAGATGGAGCCCTAACCCTTTTGAAATTTACAATATATTAGGGAGGTTAAAGGATAAGTATACAAAAAATTTAAATTTACGTGGTTAAAACTACCATATACCATAAACCAAAAAAAAGTTGAGCGGCGCCTGGGTGGCTCAGTTGGTTGGGCAACTGCCTTCGGCTCAGGTCATGATCCTGGAGTCCTGGGATCGAGTCCCGCATCGGGCTCCCTGCTCAGTGAGGAGCCTGCTTCTCCCTCTGACCCTCCCCCCTCTCATGTGCTCTCTCTCATTCTCGCTCTCTCAAATGAATAAATAAATCTTTAAAAAAAAAAAAAAAAAGTTGAAAGACCAAGAACAAATTGTAGACAAAATATTTGCAACATAAAACAAAGGGATAATTTTATTAAAATGTTTACTTAGAGACCAATTAAGGATAAAGATGAATAACCTGACAAAACAGGCAGACCACAGAAAGACTAACGGCCAGTAATGTTCAACTTCACTCACACAAGAAATGCTAGTTAAAACAGTAAGATCCCATTTTCACTCAGACAGGCAGGTATTACATTTTAATACCTAGTGATGATGAGGAGAGAGAGAGACAGACACTTGAAAAATCTGCTGATGGTAGTAAAAACTGGTCCAACCTGTAAGGAGGCCATTTTGGTGACATCTATCACTCTTTTAAATGTGTGTATCTTAAAAAGAAGATGAAAACAGGGAGGCAAACCATAAGAGACTCTTAACTGTAGGAAACAAACTGAGGGTTGCTTGAGGGAGGTGGGTGGGGGATGGGGTAACTGGGTGATGGGCATTAAAGAAGGCACTTGATGGAATGAGCACTGGGTGGTTTCTTTGTTTTAAATGACTATTTTTTTATTATTTTTTTTAAGACTTATTTATTTATTTGTCAGACAGAGACACAGTGAGAGGGAACACAAGCAGGGGGAGTGGGAGAGGGAGGAGCAGGCTTCCCGCTGAGCAAGGAGCCTGGTGCGGGGCTCAATCCCAGGACCCCGGGATTATGACCCAAGCCAAAAGCAGACGCCCAGTGACCGAGCCACCCAGGCGCCCCGAGCACTGGGTGTTACATGCAACTGATGAATCATTAAATTCTACCTCTGAAACTAAAAATAGTAATAATAACAATAAATAAAGGCATTTACCTTTTAAGCCAACAATTCCACTAGGAATTAATACTACACATATTTCCACATATACAAAAATATATCGGTATATAGTTTCCTTAAGCATTGTTCACGTAATAATAAAACAAACAAAATCTACTAAACTGTTACAAACATAAAATGAAATATACAGCTTTTACAAACTAAAATTCAGCCATAGGCTGATCAGAAAGCCTGCCTGAGATGTGTTAAATAGAAGTTTCAGAGCATGCGACCTTTTTTTTTTTGAGCATGTGACTCTTGATCTCAGGGTAATGAATTCAAGTCCCATGTTGGGGGTAGAGATTGCATAAAAAAATAAAATCTTAAAAAAAAAGTTTCAGAACAGTATATACAGTATGATACCATTTGTGTAATAAAAGCACAAAGGAATTGATACTGGATTTGGCCAGTATTCTTTTAACACATGGAGTAAGCCATACTGTAGGAAGATAGCTGAGAATAGTGTGAACTACATGCTGAGTATTCTAAAGCACAGATCATGGGAAAACTGACAGGTTAAACTGTGCCCTGAGTATCTGGTTAAGGTATGTATCTGTTAGCACCAGGAGTTAATAAACATCTCTGAACAGGAAAAAAACTTTGAAACAGAAAAACAGCACAGAGAAATTACCACAAAAGTTGAAGCCACAGAACTGGACAGATTAGCTATATGTTTGTGCATGAGGGGCATTAAGTACAGTTGGTTCTGTTCTCATCATAAGAAAGAAAAATTTTTTGTAACTATGTATGGTGGGAGATGTTAACTAGACTTACTGTGATCATTTCACAAAGTATGCAAATATGGGATCATTATGTTGTACACCTGAAACTAATGTAACATGTCAATTATATCTTTTTTTTTTTTTTTAAGTTTTATTTAGTTAAATAAACTCTACACCCACCATGGGCCCAAACTCACAAACCGGAGATCAAGAGTCACTAACTCTTCCAACTGAGCCAGCCAGGTGTCCCATGTCAATTATATCTTAAAAAAAAAAAGAACAGTTGGTTCTAGCCATTTCTAAGGTTTATCCGCTTGAAGAATATGCACAAGAGCCAGACTACTGAGGCAAATTAAAGCAAAAATTCCTTATAGGTTTTACTTTGGATTTCATTTAAACTGCTTTATAGACTTATCCAGAGAGAAATAAAGTGGTGAATTCTGAAAGTAAATGTAAATCAGAC